GAACATGAAATACAAAAAGATATTTGCTAAGTTTAAAATCCATGAGTGTGTGTGTGATCCTAAAACTTGTCTCTCAAAACAATTTACCATGCATATGCAAGCTCTCTTGATTTGAGGTTTTTAAGAAAAGATCTAATAGAAAATATAAAGATAAAATCCATAACTTTAATCTTCTCTTGATCCTGAACATTTGCTCTCTTTGAATGGTTTTGTCATGACTAATTATATATGAACAAACAAAACCTTGCTTGAGTTTTGTTATCATCAAAAGAAAGTATTCAATGTGTGAGAGTGCATATTTTGGATGTAATGAAGCTTATATCATTTCACCACAAAGCTCTCATGATCTAAAAATAATTGATCATGATCTTGGGAAATATAAATATTTCATGCCCTATTAGCTTCAATGATGAAATTTTATGTGTACATAACTTAATATGTTTGGTTTGAGAAGTGCTTATGATTATATAAGTGAGATTGGCTTTTTTTTTTTTTTTTAATCTTCTACAATTGAAAATGTTGGGTGAGTAGTTTGAAGCTTTGCTTGGTTGTTTGGAAATTATCCTAATTCCATTTAGCACAATTTTCTTCTTTGTGAGAAATGAAACTCAGTAGTTTGAGTTTGTTGTTGGTTTTGACTGAAACCACATTTTGGCAAATTAATGTGAATATATATATATATATATATATATTATATTTTTGAAAAAGCCAATCAAAACCAGCGCGACTCATATTCTTGGGTGCTTTACATGAATTGAGCCATGAACTTTGAAAGATCACATAGACACCTGCCAAAAAAGGGATGGTCTATTACGAGTTGTAAACCTAACGGGGAGAACTAAAATTTTTCTAACCCAACTAGCTGGTGGGCCAACCTATTTTTTTCTTTACATTTTAAATTTTTTCAATTTCAAATTGAATTACAGACTTTCATAAAGATCAAATTCAAGTCATTTTCATAAAGTAACATGATCAAACAACCCCAAAATTTATAGGTATAATCATGCAAGGTACTTTATATAATTATTCTACCAAGATATAAACATAGGTAAAAAAAAAAAAAAAAACTCAAACTCAAAACCAGGCTTCCAAAACGAAAAGATATAATTAAAAAACATATAAAGAAAAAATTCTTTTTATTAGCTTAAAAATCTCTTTTCATCATTGCAATTGAATTTTTCAAAAAAGGTTGGGGTGGGGAGGGTTAGCCCACATGCTATTTAAGCTAGTCCGCTTTTTTAAATAGGGTGAAAAATTTCAACCAAGTTGTCATTTTAATTTAAAATTTTAAATAAAGGAAAAATAAAATCATAAAAAAATTCACAATAATTATAAAATCAATAAATTAAATGAAATATCTCAACAAAAACAATATTACAAAATTAATCAAATATTTAGTGAAAACAATTTTAAAAAATGAATATTGAGCCACTTGAATATCCCTAGCTATTAAGAAAAGCAGAAAGAAAACAACTATGATAAGGTAAGAAAGCTTTAAATTTAAAAAACATAAGAAGAAGAGGGAGGTGGGGGAGTTTCAGTAAAGCGAAAAATAGACCAATAAATAAGAAAAACAACTTTGGGCCTAGTTTGTAGCCCATTGTATTAAAGAATACTCCAAAGGAGAATTGCACTATATATTGCGTGTTGTGCATGTTGGTTAAAAGCCCATTGAACAATCGGCCTAAGAAAATGCCCATTAGCCCCATTCTCCATTTTTTCTTTCATCCCTCTTGTCTTGGGTGAATTGGATTGGATCACGTCTTCATGACAGGGAAATGAAGCCCAAAATAAAACTCAATTCTTAATGTTTATTAGCCATTCTAAAAATAAATAGGGCTTGTTTGTTTTTTGTTTTAAAAAATTATTTTTTATTTTTGAAAATGGAAAATTTTAAAAATTTATTTGAATAATTTTTTTTATTTAATTATTTTTAAAACTACTTTCATTTTTTGTTTATAAAAATAAAAAAATAGAAACAACTTTAAGTTGTTTTCTTTTTATTTTTTATTTTTAAAATATGTTACACTTGATTATTGAAAATTATAGTTATTTTGATTAATTTTTATTATTAACCATTACCATTAACTACCTATAATCATTACTATCAGTAAATTTTTTAATTTAAAAACTATTTTTTAATTAACATAACTAAACATATTTGCATTATATTTTGTCTTAAAAACAATTTTAAAAACTGTATTTGAAAGCAATTTTTAAAAATAAAAAATAAGAACAGAAACTAAACAGGCTCATATAATATCTAAGAGAGTGAATTATGGTGATATCCAACGATAAAAACATAGCTAGACTGCAATCCTATGAAACTCACAAATGACATGCAATTCCCAAATTCTTGAAGTTAAATTTTCAAATGCAATTACAAAAATACTCTTGGTTCTTTCTTTTCTTTTCTTTTTTCTTTTAATGGTACCTATCTACCATGGCCACCATAACCGGTGCCATAATCATCACCAGTGGAGCTTCTGCATCGGCAAGTGAATTATTGTAAAGGATGGTCATAGCAAAATTTAAACACATGACTTCTTCAACCCAAAAAGTAATATAGTATGCAAGAAAGAAATAAATCTAAAATTGAACAATAGAATTTAGGGACGTAATTAAAAATGGTTTTGATGCAGAATGGGAAAGGAGAAGGGGGAAAGAATATAGAAAAGAAAGAAAGGGATCAATAGAAAGAATAGAGAGAAAAGAAAACTCAAAAGAGAAGCAAGATAATAGTAATTCTTATTCAATCAAATGTGCGTACAAATTAAATGAGTTAAGGTATTTATAGGCCTCAACCCAACCCTAGAAATAAATACATGAAACTCGTAGATATTCTAAAATTAAATAAAAAGATAACAATAAATGAAAAGATAATAATAAATGTTGAAAGATAACAATAATTTAAATTAAAACAAAATATGCGTAATTAATATGAGAGCAACATATCTTCAATCATATTAATAGGAGAATAAAATATCTTTGATTTTCAAATTTATAATATCCTTGTAATATCTTTAGTTATTTATTTTTCTATTTCTTCCCATCATTTCTCCCCTACTTGAAGAACTCTCCTCCAGAGAGTAAAATTGTGGATATGCTCTAGAAGTACGATTGGATTGAGAGATTTCGAGTTGTGCTCTATTTGGAAACCCTTTCTAGCAAATCAGATACCAATGAATGAAATCAAGTGAACAGTAAATAATCTAAGTATGTAGAAGCACAACATATAAATTTAGAAATCCTTTCCAACAAATAAGATAATATTGGAGGGGACCATAAGATTCACGAACAATATGTGCTTCCATATTTGTAATAACATCAGCATTGGAGGGCATAGTAGACAAATTAGATAGAGTAGGAGCCAGTTGAAATTGGATACCATCATTAATTGTCTCAAAATTCTTAGCTACCATATGTAGAATTTGCTTCCATAATTTCTCTTCTTCTTGATAAAGAGTTGCCTCTTGAGTCTCAACAATGCTTATATCTAGGGTAGGAGCAAAAGCTTCAATATGATTCGACTGGACTTCTTTAATTTCTATGTTGTCACATGCCTCAATCTCAAAATCAACAGTGATATTACTTTCTAGCACCACTGATATAAGTACATGGTCTTGGTTATGCATATTATCTTCTTCAGAAATTGAAATATTAGGGTCTTTATGTTTTAAGATATTATCAAGAGGATAAGGAGTTATTTCCTTTTGATATATATTCTCTTTCTCAACTTGATAGCAATGCCCTTCTTTTAATGTGGATCGAATAGAGCTTTGGAGTTCATCAATTTTATCTCTCACAAGTTCAAGGCGTGAACATATGAAATCCAAGTCTGATTGATTCACTAAATCATACTGATAGTAACATTGATGATGATTGACATAATCATAGTAGTCATGATCAACATAATCATAATGACAATAATAATTACATTGATGATGGTCATCAATATAATTATATTGATGGTCAATATAATTATATCAAGAATTAAATAATGCCATAACATCACAATTGAATGTGATTTTTTTAGGTGATTGTAGGTAATGGAATGTGACATTTTTTGTATTGGGAGGCTCTAATATCCTATTTGAGAAAAGGTTCCTAAGTTGTCCTCTATAACATCCAAGAATTTAATTAACCTAATGAGGGTAACTAGTGTATTAATAAGGTGTATGGGCATAGGAGCCTAATTTATTTAATTATGGTGATTTCAGCCCTAGAAGTAGGTTTGGATCAATGGCGGGCCACCCGAGCAAGGAAAGAGGAAGAAAACTAAATACTTGCTCTTTGTGCCAAATGCCGCAGTGCATAATCAGTCCACCATGGTACATAGAGGTAGATTTGAATCCAATGGGCTCCTCTGTGCCATGCGCTGTGGCGTACAGGAAAAATTTTTAATAAATCAATTTGCTTTTTACATGAAAACAGAAGAGAAGAAGGAGAACAAAATAAAGAGCTCTACTTTTGCTCTACTGGTGCACATTATGGGATCACATTTAGGCTAGATTGAAGCTCTCAAACACCCCAGGTAAGTTTATCATGCCTTCTTCTTTCTTTTTCTCCCTTAATTATGATAATTAATGGTAAAGTTTGAGTTAAAAGGTTGAAATTTGGTCCATAAGATTATGGGTCCGATCCTATTAGTTAAAATGAGTATAATGAGAGTGGTTTGTAATAGATAATGTAACATCCTGATTTTTTATATAATGAAGAAATTGTGGAATTTAGGTTTTGAGAAAAAAAAATGATAATAATAGGAATTTATATTATTTGAGGTTATTTAGAAATAATATTATGGTTAGGTATTTAATTATGAATTTAAAAATTTAAATTTAAAACCACATAAGAAATATTTAGTTAAGATATAATACATAAATAATTTTTTTTTATGTATGTGTTGAAAAAAAAAAGAGAGAAGGTAGAAGGAACAAAAAAAAGGGGGTGGAAGGTTGTTGTTTCTAAGTCCCACATTGGTTAGATGAGGGAAGAGAAGAGGTGCCTTCATATATAAAAAGGAGGGGGTGTGTGCATTAGGAAGCATGAGAGGCTAAGATGCAATTTAGAGAAAATTGCAACTTTTGGCCCAAAGGTTTGAATAATTAAATTCAAACCTATAGTTTTTTTTTAATATAATTTTGGGACTCACAATCCCATTTTTATATTATTTTTCTCTCTTCCTCTCACGTTGCTCGGCGTTTTCTCACAAGGGGGGATTATTTTCTTTTTCTTCAGGTATGTTCTAACTTTCCTGTTTAGATTAGCATTTAAAAATTTATTTAATTACAAAATTAATTTTATAGTTATTTTCTAAATAATATTAGCTTTCTAGTGATATGATTATTTTGTAGGATAGAGTAAATATTTTGATTAGGATTTTTCTATAGGATAGTTAATCTGATGATATGATGGATTAAAAATATAGGTTAAAATTCTTAGGGATATAATAAATATTATAGAATATTTTTTTGAGGTTGAAACTCATGTTTAAGAATTTTTGAGTTAAAATCTAGATCTATATGGTTGAATTTATGTGGAATCTAAGACGTAGGGATAAACCTATGATTATTAAATATTTATTTAAGTATGAATAGGTATTTTTGAGGTTATAGAAAGGTGATTTGAGGCTTCAGGATAATTCTAAAATTTTTAATTTATTTTTGGATGAATTTTTAGAATGTAGAAGGATGAAATTGTGATACTAGAAGTGAATTGAGGATAAAAAAAAAATAGTTCATTAGGGTACGAGAATTTTAGAAAAGAATTTGGGAAGTTAAATGAGGCATAAATCTTAAATTAGTGTTAATATGGACTATAGATTTAAGACTTTCTAACTCTTTAAATTAGAGTTATTTATTTTAATGTAAAATTAATATATAGTATTGTGAAATAATTATGTAGATTATATTGACAAAGATAGTGGTGAAAAAGGAGTTGTGAAGGGGAACTTGTTATTCAAGACACAAGGTAACCATTATTAATGTGTTGTGATGAGTGTGTTTGTGAATGGTTATGTGTTGTTTTGTTGTTTGGAAAAATTATGAATTATTGAAAATAAATACTGTATATACTTGTTTGAAATTATTGCCAAGTGGGTTAAAAATTTATTTTTGTTTATCATGATGAGATATTATTGTTTGGATATATTTCTGTTTGGATATTTGAATGATGCATGACTTGTCAGGGTATTTTAATGTATGGTGTTAATGGGAATTTCTGTTCGGTTAATTATTACCACGTGGTAAGCCCTCATTGGACCCAATGAGTGGCGTGTCGCTTGGTCCAACTCACCTTTGGCCGGGTGATTTGGCGTCCGAGCATGGTGAAAAGAGGATATAAGGTGCAGTCATGCAATTAAATACTTGTTCGGTTTGTTTGAAAATATTGTTCGATTAAATGTTTTGTGTGCCCACTTAGCAATCGCATGATTAGTTACATCCGCATGCATCATTACATATTAATTTTTGGTTACTGGGACTTTTAAGTCTCATTCCCCGTGGTTAATATTTTTACAGGAACGAGTCCGGCCGAGAAAGCACCAGAGGTGTAACTATGGTGTATTAAACACCATCTTTTACGTTGCCTCTTATTTTGGATTATACAATGTATCTTGTGCCAACTTAGGACATATCTTCTTTGTGAAGCATGTAAACTCTAATCCTTTTTATTAAAAGTATTTATTTGAATAAGAGGATTATGTTTGTCCCTCTTGATTCATGACCTAATTTAAATATCATGCCATGAGGATCCTGTCTGTCCCTCATGGTTCTAATTGCTTTTTGAGATATTTTAAGACCTGTGGTATATTGTCTTGGATGTATCATGGTAAGAAAATTTTCTACTATGATAATGGTTTTAATAATTTGCAAAAAATCGGTCTGTAAATTTGAGGGTGTTACAGATAAACCCTACATTGATGGTTTTATCAAGAGTTTGTTGGATAGAGCATTTAATATTTGAAAATCCACATAAATGTTGTAGTTGGGAGAGGTTTGTATCTATTAATGGTGGTTTGAAGTATTATTAATGATAATGTACATTAATGAAACTTAAAGAGCCCATTAGATATAAATGAATAATAATTTATGGGTTGATGGAATAGAGTGTGTGGAGGTTATGTGATAAAATCCTCCAAATGAGATATTAATGGTAATCTTGTGCTATGATTGTAGTGTGGGTTTATTTAGTACCATTCAAGCTTATAAAAACTTTGGAAGTTAGTATTGTGAGGGGTAAACCTTTGACCTCTCAAAGGTTTAAGGTAACCGGGGAAAACTTAACCTTTATAGTTGAACGTTAATTGTGTTTGTGAAATGTAATTTATGATTTAAGTTAATAATGCATATTGGCAATGTGTTTCAATTGTGGAATGGTTTTGGAAAGGAAAACCTCAATTATGCCACCCTTGTGATGTGTAAACTTGATTTTGGTTTGTTATGGTGGGTGGATAATTGTGATGAGAAATGTGTTGAGTTTATGGAGTATTTGAGCATGTGTAACTTTATGTGCTATGAATTGATTGTTTAAAATGTATATTATGTGAGAAAGGTGTATAGTATGATTATTGGCAGGAGTTTGCCTGGGAAGAGTAGTAGATTAGTTTAAATTCATGTGATACTGGCAGTGATTGTTGGAATCAGGAACTTACCTTGGCACCGACCATTGGAACCAAGAGGTAGCCCTTGTCTCATGGTTGATCTGGGACTGTCCCACTCGTTCTATGAGAAACTCAAACCTAACTAGTCTCTATCGGTTCATGAGGAGGTTAGATTAGGGGTACAACACTCCATGGTTGTTAGTATTGAAAGAAACTAGATTACATAAGTGAGTGAGTTTACCCTAACCTGGTAGCTCTTCACAAGTGAAAGGCTAGGTTAGTCCGTGAAGGACGTAGCCACATGATAGCCATTAGTTTCATGTCAGAGGTAACAAGAGGGTATAAAATTGGCATATGATCATGCATATAAGTCTAGCCATATAGTTATTAGTTTTGTGGTCTAGCATGTGTTGAGGGAGCATGGCTGTTATTATTGCGACCTCGTGTGGTGTTTTGCGAAATAACATGATATTGTGAGTTATGGGCCCATTCACAATGTTATTAGTTTTGTAAACTGTGACCAAGTGTTCATATGTGTTATTTGTGTATTTGCCTATTTGCATTTATCTATTTACAATTGACATGCGACTGTATAAGTTAGGTGAAACTTGGTTATTGAGTGGTTGTACTCACTCCTCAATTCTCAATATTTTCAAGACCTAGCTCATCGAATCTGAGTTGGGGAAAAAACACAGAGGCCTAGGATTATGGAGTAATCCTCTATATATGCCTTCCTTTTGTTTATTCATGTGTATATGTTATCATACTTGCCAACTAGAAACATTTGATGTTATTTTTGCACTACTTGCATTATTTTATGTACAACTTGTGTATATTGTGCCTTGGGTTAGTGACTTTCGATTGTAAACCCATAGATAGAGCTAAAATACATATACAAGTAGAAATATATGTATTTTGAAAGAATTGGAATGATAATTGATGATTTTGATCAACATTTCTTACCCCTTTGTGTTATGTGAAAATTGAGGTTGAGTAGTGATTTTGTGATATAAGTATTGTTTATTATATGTGGTACATTGCATGGATTTGCAAAAGTCCATTATGTGTGGTCGGATGGTCGATGTAAGCCATTGGCATATGTGGTTGAATTGGGACACTTATTTGTGAAATTTTGTAAAAAAGTAGACAAAATAGGCTTTGGTGTTTAACTTTTTATAAAGTAAGAGTTAGAGTGCGAAACTAGTGCCATTAGCGAAAGTTACGAGAAATCTCTTGTAGACACCAAAACCACCTCAATCAGATGTTGGACCAAGATTTGGGATACGTCAGAAGTTTGTTCCCTATGCTATCAAATGTCAGCACTGATGCTATTAAATTTGTGCAATGCGCTGCAGCACATGGTGTAGAGAAGACAGGCTGTAGTGCACATGTCACGAGCCACAGCGCACATGTCATTTTCTATACAAAATCTATTTTGAGTTTTAAAATTTATTGTTTTGTATCCCAATTGATTTCCAAGCTTTCACATTACTTTCAAAACTCTGATTTGAGCTTATTAAATAATGTTTGAGATTTAAAATGTTAAAATTGAGATTCTTCAAAAAGGATTTGAGAAATTGCCCTTTTTATGAAATTTTACATTTTGGTAATCCTTTGAGGGTTAATCGCTTTATTGCTATGATTTGGAGTTAAATGTGGATTAGTAAGGGAGATTTTACACCCTCACCTAAAAGGTGAAGACCTTATTCAATAAGTCTAACTTTAAGAAGAATCAAAAGTTTCTCAAGAATCAAACATGTTAAATAAGTAACAACCTAAGTAAAGTCTTCATAATGACCTCCGGGGGCCTGGAAACCCCTTAGGAAAACTGATAGAAATTTTGACTAGCCTAAAGTAGATAATTATTTATGAGGTGGATTTTTTTAAGGGTTAAATCAAAGGAAAAATTGAATGAGTGAATGAAGGAAAGGAAAAATGAAATAAATAAAGGAAGGAAATAAAATATAGACAACAAAATAATATCAAAAACAAGGAAATATGGTAGAATAGCTTAAAGTGAAGGAAAGTGAAAACAAATGAAAATAATCAAAAAAGGGAATAAGGAAAGGAGACAAATAGCAAGGGACCTAAAATTTAAATCGAAAAACCTTACCAAGTAACTTAAGGAGTCTTAAGTTATAAACTTATCTCCTAAAGCTTTTTTGTATGATGATTCTTGATACTAAGAAGGGGTTTGATAATAAAAGTAGAGTAGTGAAAACCTTGACTCTGATACCAATCGATGCAGAATGGGAAAGGAGAAGGGGGAGAAAATATAGAAAAAAAAAAAAGAAAGAAATCAATAGAAAGAATAGAGAGAAGAGAAAACTCAAAGGAAAGGCAAGATGATAATAATTCTTATTCAATCAAATATGCGTACAAATCAAATGAGTTAAGGTGTTATTTATAGGCCTCAACCCAACCCTAAAAATAAATACATGAAAATCATAGATATTCTAAAATTAAATAAAAAAATAACAATAAATGAAAAGATAATAATAAATGTTGACAGATAACAATAATTCAAATTAAAACAAAATATGCATAATTAATATGAGAGCAAAATATATTTGATCTTATTAATATAAGAATAAAATATTTTTAATCTTCAAATCTGTAATATTTTTATAATATCTTTAATTATTTATTTTTTTATTTCTTCTCATCAGTTTGATTGGACATTTATCAAAATACCTTTGATCGATTTTTTTCTTTAACATTCTCCACCCCCCCTCCCCTTAATTGTCATTGTTGGAACCCATCAGTTGTAGTCACAGGAGATCTTGCAACTAAATAAATTCACCGTAGAGACCAAGCTTTTTAACAAGACAATTATAAAAAAAGTTGACTTTGTAAGTTTGCAAAATCAGAGTAATAAAATTCTTGAAATATTCTAGAAGTTGAATTTTGAGAAAATCAATTATCTTTGTTATTTTAAAAAAGATTTAATTGCTTTGAGAAGACTAAATAGATTAAATAAATCAAGATCAAATAGTGAAGAGCAATAAACTATAAATATGATTAAGAAATAAAATCAAACAAATGTAAAAAATCAAGATTCATGTAACATATCAATTTAAATTTTAAGAGTTAATAAAAATTTTAAAACATTTAAAGATAAATTAATTAATTAGTAAATTTTTATTGAATTTAGCTTGGAATATAATTTGGAGTTAAGGTTTTTAGAAAAAATATAATAATTTTAATAATAAATGTCTTAAATTTAAAATTAAAAAAAGATGGAGAAGAAGCTGACCGGCTGAGGGAGTAAATAAAAAAAAGATGGAAATGATAGGTAAATATATTGTGGAACCCACCACACCCATCTAAAGCAATATTTACCCTGCCTTTCATTTTCTTCAACGGACTAGAGGAGAGAGTGCGAGGCAGGGAGAGAGTGAGAGCACCGAACCCCATTAATGGAGTTTTCTAAAGTTTCTAAGCTCTATTTTGTATTCCTAACCTCTCTAACTCAGGAAACTCTCTTCACAAAAATTATCCTATGTGATAATAGCTTTATAACAATATGAATATTGAGAGGAGAAAAGCAAGTTCATAGGTAAAGACACGGAACAAGTAGTGAGTTTCACCAATCGAGAACTATAAAATTATCGAGGTAAGTGAATACTTAAATTTTATTAATTTAGTTTGTTGAATAAGATTGGACTTTTATAATTGAACCCTAAGTGTAAAAAGAGGTATTTCAATTTTTAGAGTCTATTAGTCATTGAAACTTTGATAATTAATTATGAATAAATTAGAAATACTTGCTAAAAATTTATTATGGGTTGAATGAAGAGTTTGAGTGATTTTTCTAATTATGGAGGAATTAATGCGAATTTTTGAGATATTTTTAGTATGAGTAATTTGGATATTGTTTGGCTAAAAAATTATTTCGGTTAAGAATTTTAAGTAATAAGGATCTTATGATTAAATTTTCATAATAATTAGAGTTGATTTGAGTTACCATTAAGTATTCAAGATTCTTACTCTTAAAAATAACTTTTGAGTATAACTATGAAATCAGAACTGTTAGACTTTCTTGTAGTTTTCGGAAGTAATTTGGCAATAAATAAAAG